GTTATAGCAGCAGGCACTTGAAGCCCCTCAGCAATATATCTGTACGCTGAGACAGATATTCACGTTGGAATGACGTGAGGTGAAGGAAAAACCACTTCAAAGTTGAATCGCGTGAAGCAGACTTCTAAGCACACAGCCCCCGAGCTCAACCAAGAAAATAAAAGCACAAGACAACTATGCAAAATAAGGAAGAAAAAAAAAGCATTTTTACTCATTTTTTTTCGCGTCGCGGCACTGGAATCGACAACCACTAAAAATTTCCGAAGAAAATAAAGAACAAAGTTTCAGGGAGGGATATAAAAGGGGCAAAGTAAGTTGAAATGGAATAAATTCAGCTGTTGTAGTAGTACGAATATTCTCAGAGATTTTTTTTTTCGCTAATGGAACAGAATGCCTCTGAAGTTTCAATTTACTGCTGGTGAACTTCTTGCATTTGATTTCATCATTCCAGGGGCAACTCTTGGCGTTTTCTTCGAGGGGTGCCAAATCGAATTTTAATGAGTTGCTAGAGGGCTGATGATTCATTGTGAATACATGAGTTACAATGTGAAGTGATGAATGAGGAGATGAGTGAATTTATTATCTCACTGTATTCACTCTGAAATGAAGAAATCCATTCGTCTTTAATGAAAAAATAAATGCTGGAAATAATTCTCAGGGCTGCATGAATTACACTTTGGACAAATAAATTTTCTCTTGACTCCAACATACAATAATAAAAAAAAACTCCTCCCCGTTGAATTGAAACGTGAATCGAGTTACCAAGTTCCTTGGACTATTGGTAAAGTGCACCTGCAAGTTGTCTTCACTATGGGAATATTTCTTGTTCCTCGAAATTCTAAGATTTCTAAGGGGGGTATTTTGGCGAGAGTGGCTAAGGGGCAGAAGAGAATTCAGTCTTACTCCTAGAGTGTTTCCTGAGGAAGCACTGCACTCTGGATAAGATGGTTGGTTGTATACATGTATAGCAGATATCAGGGAGGGAGAAGTGGATGGTTGGGAAATCGTGGACCGGGTGCAAATAACTTGAGGTTTCCGGCAACTGGCGCTAATTGAATTCCCCGATGAATCGAACTCTCTAGTCTATAGTGTCGTGCAGTTGGGCGGAATATTGGCTCTTTTCATGGTACTGCCTCGTCTCGATGAAACGTGACCAAACGCTGGTCAATTTTAACAAACGTATTCACACTTTTCCCTGATTCGTTTTGACTTTTTATCAACTGAGAGGAAAAAATATGAATCAACAGCCATGAGCAAAAATGGAAAAATTGAAGAATTATCAACAAATTATCTGTAGTATGAAAGAGTTCATTTTCATTGAGCCTTGATAACTACTGAGGCAGAATAGGTCGTCTTCTTTATGATAAAACCACTGGCATTTTTCAATCTCCTCGAGTTCTCAAACAAAAAGCCATCATTGTTTCTATAACGAAAATCTCCTTAAGGAGTGGACCAACACAAACGCACAACTTTTATCAGAAAAGTTCATAACCCAAGTCGCGAAGATTGTTTGCAATGTACTTAATGAGGAGAACTACTATTCATACCGAGCTTTATTTCCCTCTAATTTAATTAATTTTTAACGGAATTTATTGCAAGAAAATTACAAACAACAAAAAAAAAATTTCTTACAATAGGCCATCGCCCGAGGGCCTTCAGCCAGGTGTTTTCATAAGTGCATAGTATACAGTAATAATTTGTTGGTGTAAATAGAGTATAATGAGGTGAAGATGGTACATTGAATGGTTCGGGTGAATGAATGAAGATATATATAAAGTAATTGTTTATTTATTTCCCTCTATTTTTACCAAGAAAATGCCAAGTGCTTCTCACCCCTCAAATCGTGCACGGCTCATTGAATTTCAACGATATTATTAAATTCATGGTCAAAAAGGACATTTGAAATTAAGGTTTAAAAAAATGCTAATGTAAACGAAAGGGAATCGTTTTTAATTGTCGAAGGAACTGATGCCTACCGCAGCATTATGCTCTTTTCCCATGGTTTCCTTTACTTTTTTCATTTCGCCTATCTACATGGTATACCCTACCCTTCCACTTTCTCGAGTCTGCACTTTCTTTCTGTTTGCTTGTGGAATTACGCGCTCCCGGTTAACTACCAACGACGTCAAGGAAAAATTACTCCAGGGGGTGAAGTAACGGGTTTTTTGTTCGTTAAAATCCAATTAAGTGCAGACACAGTGGATGTTGAAAAAGAGAGAATGAAGAATATACGAAAGCTGGGAAATAAGGAGAAACAAAATAGAAAATACTGATGGGGAAAATATTGTACGTGAAAAGGGGGTTCTCTACCAATGCATCGAGTCAATTAATCATTCTCTTTGCTTCTTCAAACATCGATAGGAAAGAAATGGGGAAAATGTTGCAAACATTACTGGCAAAAATAAATTATCTATCTTTGAATTTTATCTAAAACTCAAAATTTTTAAATTTTTATCCAGCAAATGATATTAGAGGTCGATTAGGGAATAAATAAAGAAAATCAGTTTTTCAATAGTTAATGTGCACCCGCAAATGTGTCGGGTTTCACGCGGCTTCCGTTAAGGTACGCCCGGTAGGATAGGATAAAAAGTAGGTAGGTTCAACGAGTTTCCGATAATGCTGGATTCACCGAGGCGCATTTAGCGGATAATGTGTTCAATATATTTCTCCTTTTATTCCCTCCTCTCCTTTCTTTCCAATTTTCCGTTCTACCTTTCTTCTATTTCTCTTTCACCTTTCTATGCCTTTAAAACATATAGTTCACATACACTCTCCTCATCTTAAAATCGTATCACGTCAATGCCAGTTATGGTTATGCAGACATTCGAGTTGCAGATATAACCTTAAATTACGCTCATAACAGCAAATTCAACTTTGCTGGATGCAAAACTTGCATTTCCGCTCTTTTCCATGCATCCATTTCACAATGTGGCAATATATTCCCGGTTGACGCTAAAATTGCTCTCCAAGCATCTTAATTAACGCGCATTCTACCGTCACTTGGATTACTCTGAATGTCTAATCTAATTTCCGAATCCATTAAACTTTGAAATAACCGAAGAGCCGGGAAATAAAAAAATCCTTTATAATTTATAAGGACTAATTCGTTTTCCAATCAAAATTACAACGTGAGAATTAAAATTATTTGAAAATGAGATTGTACTTGATTGTACAACATGATTTTATCTATATAAAAACCATATACAATTTATCAACTCTATGAACACAGCTTCAGCTCTGTAGGAAAGATGCTACGCACAATGCGCCCGCCCGTGCAACGCGTTGTCCCCGCGACTCGCCTCGGAGACGATCGATAGCCCTCCGGAGTTCACTCAGTCTCGAATCCTAGTACCTTCGTGGACCGAGAGCGTGCAGACACACATACGGACAAGTCTGTCTCGTTACAGCGATAATGTTAACGCGTACTATCTCCATTTTACTTTTGATTCTCAGGGAGTCGATCCACAATATTTCCACCAAGATTCACTGAACACGTATGAACCACATATAGGACATCAGTGATGAAATAACAACCAAACATTTTTTTTATGGTTCTAGTTCTAGACTCTTTAGTATGATTTCCTAAGCTTTGGAGTGAAAATAGCAGGAAGATTTGTCTCCCTTTATTCTTTATAGAAAAATTTTTCTTCTAAATACCTCCACAACTATTCAAGGGGGCTTTGTATCGCAAATTTCCCCGGCGCTCTGATGAGATAACTCTCCCATCCCCGTCTCATTCTTGAGATATTCTGAGTTGCCATGAAAGTATGGGTAACGAGAAAAAATGAACATTTAATATCACTCCTGTATTCACCCCCCCCCTTCCCCCCGCCCATGTTTCATTCCCAAATACCTTGAATACCTCTTTAACATAAATACACAACTGTGTACAATCCTAGTTACACTCACTCTACCCATTCGTCTCTCTTTCCGCATGCGAGGCCAAGATTTAAACGTTTGGATTCCCCATAGGGAACTTAAATATCTCGTCCTTGAGGTAAAACGAGAAGGTGGAGATTCAACGTCACCGAGAAGAAGCATGGAGAGTAAACAAAGAGATGAAAAAAAAGTTCCTTCCTCCTGCAAATGAAAGAAGAAAAAAAAATGACGCTTTTCTCTTTTCCTAGTGACTAGTGATTCACAGAAGCGCAGAAAGAAGAAAGGAACAAACCGGAAGTCTGTATGGGTTCACTTCTCGTATCTCTTTCAGGGGGTATAAGAGACACACGGACACTTGGGAAAACCTTAGCCCGGGAAAACGCTCCACGGAACCGTGAATAACGTGTCCTTCCAACATATCCGTGAACCAGC